TGGGGCTCACTGCAAGGAAAAGGCGGGGAGAGGCAGGGTCAGAGTCACGCCGGGGACCTGGGATCAGGATGGGGAAGCGGGGCTGGGAGCGATTCACAAGAGCTGGGATGAGGAGTAGAAGCAGGGATCATGGTCACAAAGCAGGGGGGCCTGGAGGAAAGCTAAACCACAGATTTACACTGGGAAGATCCGGACAGCAGTGCCAAGGTAACCACAAAGCTGAGAAACAAATCCATCACTTGGGGACACAGTGGGCACCACCATACCAGAGCCCATCACCTTCAGGCGCAGGAGAGGAGAACCTCATCATCCACTGCCCCCCACCAGCAGTCCCAATACATCTGCCTAAATGTCCCAAACCCTCCAGGAACATCTAGGTCCTGGCAAGAGCAAGGCAGGGCTGGGCTCACTCCTTGCCCTGCCAGGCACCCCTAAAGGAGCAGGGAGCCACGGGCAAAGCCCCGAGGGTGGATGAGATGCCCTGAAGAGCAGAGATGATGGACATCCTTGGCCCCTGGGCATAACCCAGCACCTTGGTGCGCAAAAAGGACCAGGCACTGGGTGTTAGCGCTGCTGGGGGTGGCAAGGAGAAAAACAAACAGGGCTTGCCGCAAGCGGAAGCAGGCTGGCGATGGAGGGCACTGACCGATGCTGGTGAGCGGACCCTTCCCGACCAGCGCCATGGGGAGGGCAGGGGGCGAGGGCAGCTCCTGCTGGTCGTCCGACTCGGGGAGCCCGCTGCTGACGGCATGCGAGTGGCGCCGCTCCTTGGCCTCCTCCTGGGAGTGGAGCTGGTACCTGGGGAGCGGAACAGAGACCGGTACGGTGAAGTGGACCAGCACCAACCCAGCTCCTGTCCGCTGCACCACAGCCCAGTCTCCCTGGCATGGAGGGCACAGCCCCCAGCAGAAAGCTCCACATCCCCCTCCCTCCCTCCCTCCCCAGCACTGTCTGAGAGTGATTCAGGCTCTTTTACCTCAACCCTTTCTTGGGCAGCGTGTTCCTGTCGCGGTTGGCACTGGAAGTGAAGGAAAGATCAGTCACACTCCTGCACACAGGGAGGGTGCCATGGGGGTTGAGTCATGGAGACGGGGAGTTTTGCCCCAGAAACGTAGCAGGAAACAGCCTCTAAAGCACACTAAGGTCACAGCGGGACAGCAGGGAGGGACCTGAACCCATGCAGGTGCCCCAGAACCTCATGCCCTCCCTCCGGCCATACCTGTCCAGATGTGAGAGCCTGGGGCTCCCGCTCCAGCCCAGCCCCCCTGCCTCTTCCTCCTCCTCTGTGAGGGGGTGCAGCAGCAGGGGTGGGGGGGGTGGTGCTGCCCCCCGAAAAGGCACTGGGCACGCTCATGGGCATCTGCAGGGACTCCATGCTGCGGTGCAGGCCTGAGAGCTTGGGGTACATCCTGCCCTCCTTGGGGACGCTGAAGCCGCCCATGAGCTCCAGGCCCTGGGAGAAGCTGGCCGAGTTGATGTTGAGGATGGGGGCAGGACTGGGGCTGAAGCAGGGTGCGAGGTGCCCACCGGTTGGGTGCAGGTCCTGGAGCTTGGCAGTGTGGGGGGTATGCAGCTCACTGGAGGAGGGTAAGTCCAGGCTGTTGGAGTTGACCTTGTCCAAGTTGGCCAGTGAGGGAGGCTTCACGTAGGTCTTGGCAGCTGCTCTGGAGGGGGGAAAACGGGTAAGGAAGCAGGTGAGACTTGAGTGCTGGGCACAGCTAGGTACTGGGCACCTGCTGCCCTCGGAGGCGGGAGGGTCGTACCTGAGAGGCGTGGGGGGCAGCTCGGCCACCTTGGCTGTGGGCGGGAGGTTGGCCTGGGCTTTTGGGGTGCTCTCAGGTGAGCTGA